TGTTTTGGAAATAAGACTCTTATCCACGACACCAGTAGCTCATATTTCGAGACGGTGAACGAAGCCTTATATGGAACTGGCACGGCGAAAGAAGCCTTATATAGGGACTGATTTTTGACATTTAACCCCCTTTTTTGCCCTATTGATCTCAAACTTGTTTGCCAGATTCCTCGTGTTTCCGAATCATTTTGCAAAAACGATTAGCAGCATCGGAATTAGTGTAAAATTCTGCTTAGGTTGAGTTCGTAGAATAAGTTTACACGGTGATTTCTCAAAAACCAAGCCATGAATTCTTCCCAGATTTTTTCATAAACTTGACTATATTCCAAAAAGTTTTTGACAAAAAAATCAGCGTGATCTTCAGGTAGAAAAGTGAGAGATTTCTTCGGCCGAAGTACTTGGTCACTTTTTGAGTGATCAGCTTCTAGACAAGTTTTAATGGGTTAATGGATAGGCAATGGAACCTAAAATCAAGTACTTAAAATCTTAAAAACTTTCTGCGGTTGTGAATCTTTTAAAAGAATTTCTGCTTACAGATATTAGCTTGGCCGAAAATTCTTTGGACACTTTGTCATAAATCTGTTTTTTAAATGAAAAGCCAATGAATTGATTAATAGTTTGCTTCAAATAGAAGATCTTTATTATACACTTTTCTATCTTTTCACGTCAATCTGGGCGCGCTTCCAAGAAAATCGGAACGCAAAAACTTGTTTTTGCTTTAAATTCGATAAAAAGTTATATAAAAGAATTGGTTTAATCAATTCTTCTGAAAATTGGTTATACACCTAACTTTTTCTATTCAAAATTTGTTTATAAATGAAAAGTTCGCCAATTTGCCTACGGTTTGCTTTAAATAAAACCATAAATAGAAAATATTATACACTTTTCTATCTTTTTTTATGCCAATCTGGGCCCATTTCTAAGAGAATCCGAGCGCAAAAACTCGTTTTTGCTAAAATTTGATAAAAGTGATATAAATTGGCTAAAAATAGGAATTGGCTGAACAGATTGTTCTGAAAATTTGGCTATAAATCTAACTTTTTGCGCTCTTTTTTTTCTATTGGCATCAAAATAGATTTCTTTGGACGAAAGTGTCTGAATCGCGCTATCGAGTCCTCGCTCTGGCCAAGTTCACACCTCAGAACAAAAAAAACCAGAAACAAAACATTTCTTAAGATTTCAACAATATTTTATAGAAAAATATCAAGCCTTTCTTATGGAGCAAATCGTGAAGTAAAAAGTGAATTGTTTCTTTCTAAATAGCTTTTTAAATGGTGTCTAAAGACTTGTCGGCCAACTTAATACAATAAAGTCTGCAAAAAATGAAGTACTGTCTCGAGAATATCAAAACGTTTCAGCGAGTTGCACTCTACTAACTCATGACGATTCCGACTGGAGCCCAAGCATGGAATTCTATCTCAGGGTCAACTACACATGCGGAGAATCGGTAAATGAGTTGAAAATTTTGGATCTATTTAAATTTGAGTTTAGAAATCCTAGTAATCGGCACAATCAGCAGAAAAAACAAATTTTATTTTCTTCTTTTAGGGAGAGCAAAGAGCGTGTTACTATTTTGTTTCGACTCCAAATGATCGCTCTTTCTACAGCAAAGTGAAACTGAGTTTGGGAGATCCGCTTGACCAGCAGTCTTCGAGCAATGTGTAAGTTCTGTTTTGGATTCTCAACCCAGACAGAAAAGCACTTGGATCAGATCAGATCTTATTAAATTCGGATCAAAAAGGACTCGGATCGGAATTGAATTGAATTGAAAGATGAATAAGACCGGATGAAATCCGAATTGAATAACTTCTGCTTTGTTCTGATTCAATTCATCTTATTTATAAACGTTTCTGGTGAAAATTTACATTTGATTGCTTGAGATTACGTGGAAAAATCCACAGCAACAAATGATTATTTGAAATTTTGCTAAAGAAATCAAGTTGAAGGCTCCTCATTGTTAGATAAAGAAAAACTGTCTACCACCCAGATTTTGGTACTCTATCAAATCTTTTTTCTTTTCAAAACCTTTTCTTTCAGCCAATTCGACACGGTCGATAAATGTGAACATTCGAACGGACGACGACGCATGAAGAAGCTTTAATTTTTTCTAATAAATTTATTGCACTGAGGTTAATATCACAGACAACTTTTTATAACAATAGACGTAATTTCCGTAATTACGTACCGGATACTGGGGTGGTGAATTGAAAACTGCCGGACTTTGAAGTAGAATTTATTCAATAATATAATATAATTTAAATAATTAAGGTATAATTTAAATCTAAAAAGAATATCTAGCCTAAATATCTAATGTCTATGCTTTATATTCAAGACTTTATGACTAAAAATCTCTTCAGAAAACTGCTTTAAAGCTGCTTTATTATTATCGATAAATTCTTAATAACATCTGTGAAAGATTACCTTCGATCTACTGGAGTACACTTGGCCCCATTGTGACAATTGCAAATGGGCATGCACTCTCGCCCGTAACGGCCTGCGGGGAAAACTAAAGAGAAATTGTTGAATTATGACAATAACAGATTTTCAAAAAGCACCCAAGTCAAGTCGTTTCGTTCCTGTTTGTTTTCATAGCAAGCATAAGCAATCTTCTAACTCTTGTAGGCTGATTTAAATTAAACCAGACGCAGACCAGGATATCAGAAGCGTTCTTAATAAATTCTTGATTCTTATATACTAGTAAATCTCGTCACAAAGGCTCTCCCGGAAACAAACTGTAAGCAGCTAGCTGGTAGTGGTAGACATAAAGATAGATAAAGGATATGATTTGTTTGTTAAATCATATTTCTTCTCACCTGATCGCGTTGATGTATCATTGCTAGACCGAGATGTTGTGGTTCCATTCTTTGTGTTCGCTCGTTAATTTCTCTTCTTGGACCAATTTCATTGAATCTTGACCTTAATAGCGTAAGCTTGGTCAATCTGACAAAATTCGACTAACGTTTAAAAATACTTTGAATTTTTAATTCAATTTTAGATCAATTCAATTAAGGACTCAAAGAAGAAATGGGAATATTCCTTGCGTGCAAGGAATGTTCCCATTCATCCTTTGATTTCTTAAGGATGAATGGGAACATTCCTGGCACGAATGGAAAATTGAATGGAAAATGGGAAATTGAGCAATTTTGAAAAATAGGTAAAGAGAGCAGATTTTGAAAGTGACAAATGAAGAGAATGAATGATCTTTTCTTTGATATCGCTACCGATTGATACATTATTTGACATCTGCTTGCCCAGGGGGAGGAGACGAGGCTATTTCTGCCAAAGGCTCTGCCAATAGTTCACAATAATTGAATGGAAATTGGAAATTGAGCAATTTTGAATTATTGATTGGGTTTGTTGGCAGAAAAAATACGTGCGACCAAATGTTGACCTCGTCAAGCATACGGCGATTACATTAAGATTACATTAAGAAAAGACGCTTCCGAGTAAGGCCCTTCAGTAAATCATGTATTTCTATATCTTTCTATCTTTCTATCTTTAGTTGTTCACTGTGAACCACAAAGGCGCCTGGTTGTCAACTGTGAACTAATGGCGCATAGGTGTCCACTGTGAACAATAATAACGCCTAGATGTCAACTGTGAAAAGCAAAGGCGCCTAGTTGTCAACTATGAGCAAGCAAGCAAGATGAACGACAATCGCCCCTAGAAGTCAACTGTGAACAAATGGCGCCCAGTCCCTGTAAACAACAATTTCGCCAAGATTTCAACTGTGAACAAGACTCGCCCTATTTTCCATATCTTTCTAATCGAATTTCGAATAGAAAGATATGGAAGGATTTTAATTCGATTTTCTATCTTTCTACCTTTCCATCCCTTTCCAATCGATTCCGTATCTTTCTAAGTGTCGAAAAATTGCTTGTTGTTTTATCTTAAAACTCCAGCTTTCCATAAATCCGACCGCTTTTAAAAAGCCCCTTTAAAGCTCCTTTATAGTCCCTATTTAGCTCCTGTAAAGCTTCTCTAAAGCTCCTATAAATCTACTTCAAAGCTCCTTTCTAGAGCCTCCTAGTTAGAACTGTGAACAAAAAGCGCGGCTAAAACTTTTAAAATGCAAGACACGAGTACTCCAGGCTTAGCATGAATAACTATGCAAAAAGATCGCGATCTTATGCTACTTTTTCTGAACCTTAGAAAATTTGAGATAATTCTCATTATTTTGATCCATTTCTCCAGATCTCATAACTAATTATGAACACAAGTTTTTTGAATGTAAATAGCGCAGAGCTTTTACCTGAAAGAGCCTGCAAAACCGGAGACCTAAAACCGGAGATCTTTAGGATTTAATGTAAACTGGGAGTGTTGCGTGTCTAGCTGATCCTAATGGTGGATACTACGACTTTCTGCAACCGAAAAATCAGAATATCTTTTCGGTGCTATGCACAAGCATTGTGTCTTTTGTTATAAACTGAATTGAAAGGTTTTCTGGACAAAAGATAAAACTGCAATCAAATTTTGGGTGCCCAGTGCTCAACTCATTCTTCACGCACATCAAGAACATCACTGTAGATTGGTCTCTGGACCAACAATTGGTCCAATATTTGGCTTATCAAGAGAATCGCCAAGAAGGGTAATTATAAATATACAAATTGAACTCAGTGAAGTAATCAATCAATTATTAATCTTAAAAGCCCAAGGCTTGTTTCTTCAAAAAATTTAAGAAAATCCAATGAAGAATGAAGAAAGTTGATGACTCAAAAGCAGAAGATTGCAAAGGGAGCGTGACATTTTTTCATCGAATTCATTTTATTTGGCAGCGGCTTAGCAAATGACGGTTTTTGTCTCTTTATTGAGCCACTCGCAAAGTTTCGGAGTGATCGGAGTCGCCCTCGCTGAAAATGAAGGGAATTTTTAGGCCACTAGAAAATAACTGTATCCAAGGCTGGACGAGTCGCTCATGATTCCCACTTGGTACCAAAGCTGACCGAATTTTGCTACAAGCGGGCCACCGGAATCTCCCTAAAAGCAATGTTGAAAGCTCAAAGGATATTTGCCTTAGTCGTGGCTTTTCCGCGACCGCAGAAGGTGTCTTGTTCATCAAGACATTCGGCACGTAAAATGGCTTCTTGAACTTTGGCTTTTTCTCCTGAACTAAATATTAGATGCGAATGAAAGAGTTTCTTAGGGTCAATGATTAACATCTCTAAAATTCTCCTTAATGCTTTGCATCGCTAGACAACTTTTGAATTTTACCGTCTCCCATTCCAAAAGCGAGCATCGGCTCTTTCAGTGTCAAGCCCCTGGCTTCGAGGCATACTCGCTTTCCAAGATCATCACTGGTGTCAATATCCGTTTCCAGCTAGATAACATAAGGTTTTTCACTACTAATATCTAAGGTCCACCTCTAAGAGAGCGACGTCACCGTGATCCCAAACACGAGCAGTCTGGCTTTGAGCTTGTACCTGATTACTTGTTTACTGGCTGAGACATTGTCATACCTCAAATTTATTGCCTGGCCTGAACCTGTAGCTCAAATAGTAATACCATCGGACATTTTTTCGGACGCAGCTTGCCGCCGTCAGAACCCATTTTGGGGCAATATAGGATCCGCCGCAATTGGTCTTCAGATTAGTTGTCGTACCGGATATTGGGGTGGTGAATTGAAAACTGCCGGACTTTGAACTAGAATTTATTCAACCTAAAACCATGAATTCATTCGAAATAATTTCCATTCGGCTTCTGCCCATTTCACAGGCAGTTTGCGGATTCCTCTTGCGTAGTAGGATTTTGGCTTCTGTGTGAGAGAAGTGTGAGACTCAGAAATGTAGGACTGGAGATGTCTGATGTCCAGTTTTCACACTTTCTTCAAAAGAAACCCATTTTGGTGTCAATAGAAAAGTTGTAGTGAATCAAAAATTAGGCTTATTGCCAAATTTCCAAAAAGATACACTTAGTAGTTTCGTTTAAAATGGAAGTTTTGTGAAAATTCGTAAATTTGGCATTTCTTGAAAACCAGTTTTTGAATCATTCTGAAAATCTGGATTTAAGCCTAATTTTTGATTCCCTACACCTTTTCCATTGACACCAAAATGGGTTTCTTTTGAAGAAAGTGCTCAAATTGCCACATATGACAATAGCCGGCAGTTTTCATTTCACCCAATAGATCTGTGTACTCTATTAGTAGGAATTCGCGTGAATTGAATATTCGCGTGAATAAAGTATTATTATTATTAAACTTTCCAAAAAGTGTTGAAAAGTCACTGCTTTTCAATAACAATAAAAGCTTTTCAAAATTGGACTTTCAATTGAATAGAGTCAAAAATCGAGTAAAACCAGATGACCCGTTCGGGTTTTTTCCAAATTCTTTCCGAAGTGAACACACGATTTTCAGCGGTTCAATGCAGCGGTTCATCTTGGCAACTAAATTACCGGTTTTTTGGGGTAAAAATTTCCACGATATCCACGATTTTCACGTTCTAACAAAAGTTCATTTCCTTTTGATGTCAAACGAATTATTTTGGTGCAGATGTGCCAGAAAGCTTGCGTTTAAGCTTTAAAGAACATTGCTTGGATAGCTTGAAGCTGAAAGGATAGCTGAAAAACATTAAAATCGTTCGAATTCAAATGAAACAATGAAACACATTAAAATTGACATTTTTGACGTAAAAGACATTCCCATCGATGTCTTTTCAATGCAACGAAGCGTGCTTGCGAGCTTCGACCAGTCGCATCTCGACCCCGAGGAACGTGGCCAAGAATGATGGAAAGAATTTGCAATCAGGAGGAAGAGCCAAGAAAGAAATTGGTATGTTTTGCGAAGTGGGACAACGACCTCAAGTCTGGAGGAATCGGACAACAAGTGGTGCGTGCTTGTTGAATAAGGAAAGGGCTGATCTTTAAAGGATCTTTTTTCCATTTATCAATGAAATGCTAGCCATTTGACATTTACCATTTGAGAAAAACCAGCTCGGAAAATATTTGATTTTTTCGATGAAAAGAATCAAATGTTTATTATGGTAGTTTTTAAAAACACACACTTAACTAAAATTTGTAAAAAGGAGCTCTAGGTCAAAAAAGCAAAATGCAAAAAAGATGATCTAAATCTTTAAAGATAATCAATGACTTTTGCAGTCCTTCTTATAGAATCAGAGGAAAAGTTTTGAAAAAACTACAGAAACAGGTTTAAGAACAAGCATTAAGAACAAAAGCTAGAAGAAAAGGATAAGGTTGTAAAGAGTTGACATTTAGAATATAAGTCCACTTCGAGATAGAGATCTATGACCACTCATTTCAGAATCGGTTTGGCCTTGGCTTTTTCGAAAAATGGCTTTTCGTTAGTTTTCGGTGCGAATTTATATCATTTTAAATAAATATTTATAGATAAAATTTATATAAATATTCAGAAAGAAATAAAACGCATTAATAAAATATATTATATTAGATAATTTGCATATTAATTTGTCGTCTTTATTTCTCTAACTTTAATCGAACGAAAAATGAACCTGAGCTTGAACAAAACCCGAACAATCCCCAGGTCTTTCATTTGTTTTCCTCCAATCCTCCATCCAATACAATGGGAATTTCAAAGTCTAGACTCAAACTTTAATCTGTGACAATGTAATAATCTCTTCCTTTTTCTCATTAGAAAGCTTTCCTTTTTCTATCACAAGTCATTCCAGACATTTTGCTTTAAAATGACACCGGTCTTTTTCTATACTTTCCATTACTGACGTCAAAAAAACAATTGAAATTAATTAAAAATCGAATTTTTAATTAGCTTAGTAATCGCAAAAAAATCCAATGGAAAACCAGTAGATTCTGACTTTATTCTTTTTACAAGGTAAAATCCAAGGTTTTTAGAGCAATTTTAATTTAAAATTTAAAGCAAATTTAAAAAGCAATTTGTGTAAGAGAGTTTATTTTATCTGTATAAGCTCTTATAGAGTTTGTATAAGAGATATTTTAAGATTTGCTAAAAAAATATGCGAACAAAACATAAAAAAATAATGCCGTTAGCATCGCTCGTTTCTGATAAATGAGAGCTGATACCCATCGGGCAGTTTCTTTTGCACCACCCTAATAGGAGTGCTTAGTCATGCCAAAAAATAATCCCACTTGATGGTGGATTTTGGTGCCTTTTCGAGAGTCTGAATGTGCTTCTTCTCGAGTCTCGGATGCCTTTGCGAAAAGGAAGATTTTTAACAACTTTTCCTTGCCAATTCCTTCATTTTATCGGCTCATTGATAGTCAATAAGGGCGACAAACAAGCAACCCAGGTTAACGGTGAAATCAAAGTTCACACACTACACCCAATTCAGGCGCGAGGCCCGAGACCAGGCGCCGAATGCAACGCTGACTTTCCGCTTCTGGAAAACGAGTAAAATCTTTCTCTAAAGTCTCGAAACGAGCTGGGTCAAGAGAATGCTAACGGGTAAACGAATCCAACCAGATCGATTTGCTCTAGCGCCTCCAGAGGGGCATTTGCAAGGCATCTGTAAAGAAGCTCCTCAAAGGGCTTGTCGTAGGGGTCGTACAAGTTGGCGTTGCAAAGCTAAATGTGAGATTTTTCGCAACAAGGACGAAGGCACTTCTTGAGCCGCAGTGGCACTTGGGGACGCCGGACTTCCAGTCCCGTTAAAGCAAATTTCCAAAACACCTGACATCAGTATTACTCGCTTGAAAAGTGCTAAAGCTGCCTTTTATTTTAAAAAAAGTGAATGTGCCTTTTTCCACCGCAGGTGAGATAGCCAGCGCATGAGCAGAGCATGCCCCAGCCGAGTGTCCAATCAATGTAATTTGGCTTGAATCCCCACCAAACCTAAATTTTTCGTTAGTTGTCCTTTTTCTAAATCACTCATGAATATTTTTGGAGATAAATTTAATTGCCAAATGCGTGTCATCGAGTCCAAGATTTGCATGAAACTTCGAGGATGGAAAATGCGGGTAGAAAAAGCCTAAACGTTTTTGCATTTAAACATTTTTTGCATTTGTAAATGTTCTTACCCAGGACTGACAGTCGGTATTGCACCGTAACCACTATAACTTGGTCATGGTTCGATAAATTTCCCAAGTTTTCCACGGTAAATTCGTTTCCACTTCCAAATTTATAGGCGCCTCCGTGGATGTAGACAATGACGGGAAGCAGCGAAGAGGCGGGAGGCGGCTAAATCTCTTGTTTTTTTTCCAAGTTCAATCAGACATTGGTCGGTCCAAAAATGTTTAAAAAAAGACAATCCTCGCTTGTTTCAAGGCCGGGCATCACTGTAATCTGATTTTTAGCTGGCCAAACCAAAAACAAACATTTTGCTTGAGGACACGCCTTTGCTGGTTTGTCCATGGCGTTTCCTTGCTCATCCTTCCAACCATTTGCCAAACTAGCTCGCTAAAAGTTTTGAGTAAAAACTCCATTCCTTCCTAAAACCTGAAATCGTTTTGGCTGGTCGGCATAGCGAACCCCTAGTCGAGCAGAAATCCCGCCTTCCAGAAGACGCCCATCTGGCAAACCGGTAGCCACAACCCTCAATAACAGAGCGCAGAAGAGAGGACGCATCTACCCTAAAATTCCCTTAATAATTACCCATGCTCTACTTGTAAAAAACAAGGCAATTAAGAAGCGCCGAAAAGAGAAAATGTTTTGAAAGTGACGATTTGAAAGTAGGAGGGGCTTTCTCCCCCATTAATTCTTTAGGCATCGTTTTTGGCTGCGCAAGAAATAAAAACTTCTAATTTTAAAAAGTTTGAATTTGAGATCAAGGAGTTCCGAAGATAAAGTGAACATTATCTCAAAGCTCTAAAATTAACCTGCAATTTTATTTTTTTTATTTTTAGGCTCTAACAGCAAAATAATACATTGGGTCCGATGTTAAAAATCAACCGCAGGTCAAGCAAACAAACAAACCAGTGTGAAAAGAATTTTTTCGATTTTTGTTTTTACATTTCTTTGGACAGATCTCTTCAGATGCATCTATCAGAAAAGATTTCATAGCCAAGCAACCGCTCTGGGCTTTATGCTTATGTCTATAAATACGTAATGAATCTCAACACGAGTCTATTGATTATGACCTAGCTTTTCAATATTTTGAATGCTGAAGTAAAATAGTGGCAGGATTTCTACCTGATGATGTTTCGAGTAAAAGGAAGAAAAAACTATGGCGTGGACATTTGTTTGTTTCAATGTCTTATCATTCTTTAGCCCGAAAAGCCCGAAAACTTTCATTATTATTCTATTTTAGGACCATTGCTTCAGATCGAGCTTTCTTTTTGTAAAAATATTAGTGTTAAGAATTAGTTTTGGATTTATGATAGATGTTAGGATAGATGTTTTGGGAAAGAAGTAGCCTCAACATTAATTCGCGACACTCTTTTCCTTTAAAAATAGTTCACAAAGAGAACGTCACTTCAAAGATTGATTTTAAGCCTAAAATAAAGTGTTGAGGTTTTTTTTAAGCATCTGTTTATTGAATAGGAAAACTGTCTGATTTGCGGTAGTTTCGTGAATAGATGTCTTTTAGAGGATGTCTTTTAGCTTGACGCTTGCTCCCCAAGTGCCCTGGAAACAACTTCAAAACACACCGTATAAACATAGCGTAACAAATATTCGGCTAGAGGCTTTCGGTCTACAGTGCCCATTATCAAAAATTTTTGTTTTAAATTTATTTTAGACAGATGGGTACTATACATTCTATTTTAGGAGCAATGTCGTAAGATCAAACCTAAAAGTGGAGGCGGCAAGCGCTTTTAGAACAGTCATCGAAAGATCGTCGAGAATTAATGTTGTTTGATGGCGGATTCTTAAAATAAGACCTCAACGCTTTATTTCAGGCTTAAAATCAAATCTTTGAAGTGACGTTCTATTTTTGAACTATTTTTAAAGGAAAAGAGTGTCGCGAATTATTGTTGAGGCTACTTCGTTCCCAAAACTTCTGTCCTAACATCTATCGTAAATCCAAAACACTCCGATAAGTTTTAATGAAACAACGAACATTTTTTAATAAAGCATCAAAGAAGTTGGCCCCATTTTCAAAATAGCTTTGTATTAGAATCTGAATTAATTATGAAGACAATAAATTATTAACATTTTCATCTCTTCAGCGAAAAGTAATGAATCAGTAATCAATAAGAATTGCTGTTGACAAATTCAGAGGGTGTTCTTGACGAAAGTGTGATATCACTGAATCTCAAAAAGTCTCGCTGCATTTGACTTAATGATCCTTGACTCTGAAAATTTAGGTGGGGTTGTGTTTTGAAAGTTTAAAGTCTTGAAAGTTCGCTGAATCTCTTTACTTTGACTTTCTCGCTTTATTAAATGCGCATGCACTCTCGCCCGTAACGGCCTGCGGGGCAAACTAAAGAGAAATAGTTGAATTATAGTTTGCTTCAAATTATTATAAAACGACAAGCCTAACCTTCCGAGCAAATTGCTCCGTAATATCCAGGTGGACATTCACAAGTTCCATGGTTCCGATTTGGGACCCATTCAGGGCCGATTCGGGACAATTTTTTCAGTATTGGTTAGTCTAGCCTATCAGTAGAAAGATTAGCTCAAAGATTTGCCAGACATTCTAAATAGTCGCTAAAACTTTGTGGAGCAGAACTCAACCAGCACAGACTTTGTTCATTTTATTCAAGTTTTATGATGTGGCAAATAAACAAAATATTGTAACTATTTGTAAATCTCATTGTTAAAAATAAACAATTCGCAATTGGAGATTACAATCATTACAATCATTATAATCATTAGAATCATTACAACTTATGTACAAGCGTTTGTTGGATGTTTAACTGGCAAGCGGAGTTCTTTATGAATAGTCCATATTGTGATTGGCGTGCATCGATACGGTGATCAAAAAACCTTTATGATCAAAACTTTATGATCAAAAAACCTTTAATAAGCATGATTCAGAAAATCTGTATGTGAAGAATGAAGGGACTTTTGTGCGCGCGTTGCAATCGACATTCTTGTATCTGAAAATAAAAAGATGTCAGTGGAATTGATATTTTCTGATTTACTGAAGGGCCTACTCGGAAGCGTCTTTTCTTAATGTAATCTTAATGTAATCTTTCTGGGAGTCTCCTTTGGAACGGGAATGGATTTGAAATTGAAGTCCTTTGGGGAATATTCATCCCGCCACATCGCGCAAACGGTTTCTTTTTGAGCGCAAACGAAGAGCGCAAACGGTTTGTTTTTGAAGAACGAGAGATCCGAAAATAAGAGAATATTTTGGCAGAGCCGATTTTGGATGAACTATTGGCAGAGCCGCTGGCAGAAATAGCCTCTTCTCCCCCTGTAAGCAGATGTCAAATAATGTATCAATCGGTAGCGATATCAAAAAAAAGATCATTCAGTCTCTTCATTTGTCACTTTCAAAATCTGCTCTCTTTACCTATTTTTCAAAATTGCTCAATTTCCCATTTTCCATTCAATTTTCCATTCGTGCAAGGAATGTTCCCATTCATCCTTTGAGTTCTTAATTGTAAGTCTCATTTTCTTGTAAGTTTTAATCTTTTATCTAGTTCTATCACAATAGACTACTGCACGTACCACACCCATAATCACTGAAAATCGAGGAGTTTCAGTTCAGTTCCCATCGGAGGAAAATCGATGGGAACTGAACTGGTGTCACTTGACCGTGCTGCGATTCTCTCAATGGTTTGTACAAGCACTCCTTGTCGCGAGGGTACTGTTCTGCCTTTCATTTGAGCCTCTTTTGATGCAGTCGCTGTCAATTGCAAGTCGATATTCGGTTAACTGTGAGCAAAAGTCATCGCGAGCTAAAGCAACATCAAAAGCCTGGTAAAGAAGGGAGAAGGGGTACCATTGCAAACAATTCGAATTATAATGCCATTTTGAAAAAGCTTCTCTTTGAAAAAGAAATCTAACTGCCTGCCCCCTTCTAAAAAGTGGCTGAATTTATTAAAGGCAAGAAGGGGTTGTTCATTCACTATCAGTAAATTTAAAAAGCAATTTGTGTAAGAGAGTTTATTTTATTTGTATAAGATCTTATAGAGTTTGTATAAGAGATATTTTAAGATTTGCTAAAAAAATATGCGAACAAAACATAAAAATAATGCCGTTAGCATCGCTCGTTTCTGATAAATGAGAGCTGATACCCATCGGGCAGTTTCTTTTGCACCACCCTAATAGGAAGTGCTTAGTCATGCCAAAAATAATCCCAAACTTGATGGTGGATTTTGGTGCCTTTTCGAGAGTCTGAATGTGCTTCTTCTCGAGTCTCGGATGCCTTTGCGAAAAGGAAGATTTTTAACAACTTTTCCTTGCCAATTCCTTCATTTTATCGGCTCATTGATAGTCAATAAGGGGCTTTCTCCCCCATTAATTCTTTAGGCATCGTTTTTGGCTGCGCAAGAAATAAAAAATTAAAAGAAAATCGTTGACAGGACCAGCAACAAGTGCAGAATGACAAGGAAAACTTCTTCTTTTTATACTTTATAAGTTTAAAAATTTAATATATTTAATTTTTAAAAATTAAAAGAAGAAATTACAAGTGCAGAATGACAAGGAAAACTTCTTCTTTGCAACTAAAACAAATTTGATTAAGCCAAGAAGCGTTTACGAGTTTTGTAAAACAAAAGAAATCCGGTGATTATCTTGGTACTCGATGGTATTTGAAAAATCGACGTACATTAGCTATATTAGAAGTTTTACGCGAATTTATTTGACTATTTTGCTACAAAAACAGTCAATCAAATTTAAAACATTATCATTCACCAAAGACTGCTTTCATTGGTATCCAGATCATTGAATTCTATTCCCTGGAGAAGTTCGACTCCATCCAATCTTTGTCAACCTCCGCATAAACTTACTTTTATCCATTCTTCAGCTGCGTAGCTTGTACTTGTACTTCTTCTTGTACTAGAGTCTTCTCTCACTAATTTCTTTTCTAGAGGTTCTCTTTTTTTGAAGATTAATGTCCATTTTTCCTAGCCCATTCGTTTTAAAAAAGCTCTAAAAGCTAATATTAACCAATTTCTATTCCAAAAGTTGTTTTTCTAGGTAATTTGAGGGTCTCGAATTCAAATTTTGACATAACCAGCGTGTAAAACCAATTTGAAAGACAAAACGGCTAAGTCAAATTACAGAAAATTGTTGATTTTTTCTTTGCATATAACTCTGTCCGTTCGCTTCCACAAGCTCTGATGTGCCAAAATTTTGATTCGACGCCTGTACACGAATGTACAGACACCTTTTTGCAGCTTTTGTAGCTTTTTGCAGCTTAGGCTTAGGCTTAGGTGATTAGATTTGATGATTAGATGATTAAAATTGATTCGACGGGTCTACGATAGATAAAAATCGCTCTGAAAAGTACACAAATTTTCACTTCTGATTAAGGCCAGTAATTGGCAAATAATTAACATAAATTGCTTGTAATTACACTCTTTACTAAGCAAAATTTGATTTGATATTAAGCTATCGTATTGGCCAATTGATCGGTCACTTGATTGGTCACTTGATTGGTCACTTGATTGATCGTATTGATCAAATGTTGTACTTGAACGCCAGAAGCTTTTTGCTTGTTTTTGAATGTCACC